GCAGTTGTGCGTGGCCTCCCAGCGGGGCCGGTTGTGCTGCTCGTAGAAGAGGCAGGCGACCACGCTGGCAGCCGGCACGGTGTAGAGCACCGTGAAGAGCCCCAGGCGTATCATCAGCTTCTCCAGCTTGTGGGTCTTGGTGGGGCCGCCCTGCTGCTTGATGACGCTGCGGATGCGGAAGAGCGAGACGAAGCCGGCGAGCAGGAACATGGAGCCAATGGCCAAGTAGATGAGCAGCGGCGCCAGCACGAAGCCCCGCAAGTTCTCCAGGCTCTGGTTGCCCACGTAGCAGATGCCAGCCACGGGGTCCCCGTCCACGGAGCTGAGCGCCAGCACGGCGATGGACTTGACGCTGGGGAGCAGCCAGGCGGCCAGGTGGAAATACTGCGCGTAGCCGGCGATGGCCTCGTTGCCCCACTTCATGCCGGCGGCCAGGAACCAGGTGAGGGAGAGGATGACCCACCAGATGGAGCTGGCCATGCCGAAGAAGTAGACGAGGAGGAAGACCACGGTGCAGAGGGCCGGGCCGGTGCTCTCGTACCGCACGTGCTCGGCCACCGCCAGCTCCGGCTGCAGCTCGGCCGCGCCGCCCGCCGCGCCGCGCCCCCCCGCCGCCGCCGCCCCTGCCGCCGCGCCGCCGCCCGCCCCCGCCGCCCCGGCCCCCGCGCCGCCCGCCCCCGCCCCGCCGCTGCACGCCACCTTCTCGTGGCCGGCCACCAAGCGCACCAGGTAGCCGAGGGAGACGAAGAGGTAGCAGGCAGCCAGGAAGATGATGGGGCGCTCGGGGTACTTGAAGCGCTCCATGTCGATGAGGAAGGTGGAGACGGTGGCGAAGGTGGAGAGGAAGCAGAGCACGGACCAGAGCCCGATCCAGAAGGCGGTGAAGGCGCGCTCGTCGGGGCTGAAGTAGGGGTTGTGGCAGGGCAGGGCGCAGTTGGCGATCTGCCCCGTCTTGACGCGGTTGTAGAGCGGGTGCCGCTCGCTGGACACCGACACCATGGGCGCCCGGCACTGGCAGCCCGGCTCGCAGGGCGGCGGCGGCCGCGGCTTGCGCGGGGCCTCGGCCGGCGGGGCGGCGGCGGCGGGGGGGGCCTTGGCGGGGCCGCCGGGCTTGGCGCCGCGGAGCGGGGGCTTGGCGGGCGGCGGGGCCGCCGTGGTGAGGTCTGTGCGGTTGTAGTCCATGCAGAGCGTGTCCGGGCTGCCCTGCTCGGGGAGGCGGTCGCAGCGCATCCTGTCGGGCCAGGCAAAGCCGTACTGGCGCATGAGCGGGGCGCAGCCGGCCTTGGCCCGCTCGCAGACGCTGCGGCAGGGCGGCAGCGGCTTCTTGTAGTCCTCCAGGCAGATGGGGGTGTACATGCTGCAGAGGAAGAAGCGCAGGTCGCTGGAGCACTGGATCTCCACCAGCGGCCAGAACTGGTGCACCTCCAGCCCGGCCTCGTCCTGCGTGTCGTGGTTGAACTGGTTGGGCATGTAGGTGTAGTTGTAGCCGATGCCCTTGCAGAGGGGCACGGTGATCTCCTGGCACGACAGCTCCTTGGCCGACGAGGAGGAGGCGGCGGCGGCGGCGGCCGAGGCGGCGGCGCAGCCGGCGCGCTGCAGCAGGGACAGGGCAGCGAGCAGCGAGGCGATTTCCAACAGGTAACTCCACTCCATGCTCGGCGGCGGGCGGCGGCCCCGGCTCCTCTCCCGTCCCGCTCGGCAGCCGCGGGGAACGCGGCGCCACAGCACCCCCCCGCCCCGGCTACCCCTCTGCGGGGCGGAGGGCGGCCCCCGCCGTGCCGGCCGCAGGTGAGAGGGCTGGCAGCCCCCGCGGGTCTCCGTCGCCCGGGGGGGGGGGGAGGCGGCCCCGCGGGCACCCGGTGAGGGGGAGCCGCCGGAGAAGGGGGCTCCGCTCAAGGAAGGCCCCTCAGCCGCCTTCGCATCGCTCCTCGCGGGGCTGGCTGCGCGGGGGGAGGGGGCGGGGAGGTGTCGCCGCTGCTCCGGCGCCGGCCGGGCACGGAGCGGCGGCGGCGAAGTTTCGTCGTCAGCCCCCCCCCGCGCGGCGCGGTCAAGATGGCTGAGGCGTCCCGGGGACCAGGCGGTGCGCCCCGCGGCGCCGGGCTCCCGCCGCCCCGAGCGGCGGGGCAGCGGCGGGGCTGCTGCTGGGGCGGCCGGAGCGGCTCCTCCTGCCGCCCGCCCGGCTCTGCGGGCGGGCAGGCGACCGCCAGCCGACCGGTACTTGCTCTCCGCCTCCCTCGCTGCTGCCGGCGGGGCGAGCCGGGCGCCGCTGGCCGCCACTGAGCCACCTGAGCCGCGGGGCGAGCGCGGCAGCGCCTCCGCGCAACTTCTCGCTCCCCGGCCCCGGCAGCGCCGCTCCGGCCGCCGCGCTCTCATGAATATTTATAGCGAGCGCCGCCAGGCCCCGCCCCCGTCGCCTCGGCCGCCTATCGCTCGGGCCCCAGCGGAGGGCGGGGGGGCCGGACCCAGCCCGCCTTAAGGTGGAGCCGGCGCCCCGATCTGCGGCGCGGCCGCCGGTCCTTCTCAGCCATGGCGGGACGTGGCGGTATACAGATATTTTTTTTTTTAACTCTGCGTGGTAGGGGCTCCCGTCCGTACGGAAAGGTGCGGTGCTGCACCGCGCAACGCTCCCCGCCGAGTGCGTGGGCTGCGGCAGGCAAGCGCCGGTCCGCGCGGCTGCAGGGCGCTTCTTTCCCCTCGCAAGGGTTCCCGGCCGCGTCAGGTTCGCTCCGGGAGCAGCAGCGTTCCAGCAGCTGCCCGCAGCCTCCTCGGAAGCGGTTTTCTGACAAATCTTTGGGGTCCGCGGGAGTGCTCAGCCCACGCTGGCCTGAGTGTGGCAAACGCTGGGTGGTCTCGCGGCGTGGGCTGGGCGCCCGGCGCCGCGGTGCAAAAACCACGCTCGGGCTGGCGGCGGCGGCAAGCGGCGAGGCCCCACCGCTGGCCTTACTTCCCCCCGCGTCTCCGGTCGCCCCACGCGTGTACAACACACGGTCTGAAGTGGAAGCGTTGGTGGTGTCCGGCTGGGGGTCACGGCTGCCACCAAACAGCCGTGGGGAACGCCGAGGTTAATGACACGGGGCTCCTGCAGCGCCGTCAGCGGCGAGTGCGGGAGCGCTCCCCGCGCAGCCAGCGGGCGCACGCACACGCGTGCTGCCGAGACTCTGCGCCAGCCCTCTGCGTGCCCCGCGCAGCGGCTGCCAGCTGAGCGGCCCCCGTGGGGCTCCACGGAGCAGCCCCGCGCCGCGGCAGCTGAGCGTTTCGACCCGGGCTGGTGCCCCTGGAGCCCGGGAGCGGGGTCCCGCTGGGCGGCCGACGGTGGGCGCACCCGCGGCCGTTCCTGCGACCCAGCCGGAGCTCCGGGCGGCCGGTAGCGTGGCTGGGCCGCGGCTCGCCGCGCCAGCCCGGCGCCGGAGGCGGTGAGTCGCCAAGGAGCGGCCAGAGCAGCGTGGCGCGCCCGGGCCGGCTTCCGAGGGAGCAACGCCGGCGGCCGAGCAGCCGCTGCGCCCTGACTCCCGCGGGGACCCGGCGCTGGGGCCGCGCCGAGGGCAGCTGGGGCGGGGGGGGGGGCGGTTGGCCGAGGCGCCTCGCTCCCCGCGCAAGCGCCGCCGCGCACGGCCGCCTCCTGTCCCGCTGCACGGCGGGGCGGAGGCCGCCGCCCGCCGCTCCCGGGGGCCGGCCCCGGGGGCACCCGCTGTTTTCCGCCGGCCGCCTCGGCGAAGGGGGCGGGAGTTTGGGCGGCCCCTCCGCCGCCGGACCACCTTAAGGGGGAGCGGCGGCGGGCGCGGGTGGGGTGCGCGGCGGGGCCGTGCCGTCCCGGGGGGTGCTGTCCTCCCCGGACGGGGCGTTTGTTTGCGGATTGACGCGCTGGTGCGGAGCTCACGCCGGGGCTGCGGTGGCTGTAATCTCGGGAACGCGCCGCTCGGGGAGCCGGCGGCGCGGCGTGGTTTGTCTCGGGGCGGCGTGAAATTTTGTGACTCGCCGGGTTTCAAACAGGGGCGGTGGGGGAGCGGCGGGGCAGGCGCCGGGAGGGAATTAAACGCGTGAGGCAAAACACAAAAGCCACCCCAGTGTTGTTGGCTATGCTAACAGGATCCTCTCCGCTCCGGTCTGACGCTCTGTTTAAGTGAAGGCGCGGATTCTCCAGTCAGGAGGAAATGGGCGATAATGGGGCAATAAACACGTCTGGTGTGTAATCATTGCGGTGATTTGCCATCCCCCTCTCTCGACCCCAGCGCCCACCCGAGGGGAGGGTTTGCGTTCAGACGTGACACAAGTGGTGGAGGGACCTGGCCGTCCTCCTCCAGGTTTCACATCCCGGGCTGTGACATCACTGAGACATATGTAGTATTATTTCAGGTCAAAATCAGAACTTTTCCAAAAGTAGCAGATGGTGATTTTAGTGCTAATTTAGTTAATACCCTACTGAAAAGTGTTAGGATATTGAACAATGACCAGTGAAGAAAACGGAATGAAAAATTCGTCGTCTGGCTGAGATCTCTGTGACTGACAGAGGTTTAAAAAGTCTCTTTGCAGTCCTGGATGTGATGCTCCATTTTAAGAAGTGACTGTTATGCTGGTGGTTGCTTGAAGAGTACCTCATTTTAAAATCTATACAGAATGTAAAAATGAGTGAGTCTAGTCAGGAGAGCTGGGTGAGTCTGTAAATTACCGCTCTGTCAGGATTCCTATTGCCTATTACAAAGTACCTTTTTACACTGAACTTAAGCTCTGCACTACAGAGACAGCAGATGTGAGGTGATGGCTTCCAAAAGCAACACAGATGCTGTAAAATTTCCATTGCAATATTTCAGCAAGGAAACTCAGGAGACATGCTGAATGCTACAGTTTAGAATTGCACTATAACTCTCCTAGAAATAAGAGAATACCAAGTTTCTCAACAGTACACTTGGCTTCATTTTTACTGTCGTTCATATGCTCTTGTTTTCTTCCAGCATGAAAAGAGATGCAGCACAAAGATACCGTGTGTCTTGAAGCTGTTCAGTAATGACAGAATTGGTAATATGGAACTTTATGGCAATTTAGTAATGACTGTGTATCCAAATTCCCGAGCAAGACCATGATAATTTTTGAAATTGTCTCTCAGGTATATAAACCAGCACAGCTGTGGGGAGGCTGCTTTACTTTATATGATGGAGAAGCAGCCTGGACAGTTCAGGGCTGTGGAACCACAGCCCATTGTGTGTTCCTCATACACTGAGACTTCCCTGAAGTCCGTAGAAGTACTGAGATGAAGGAATCAAGGGTCAAGTCTTTAAAACAGTTTGTGTGTTTATTTCGGAAAAGACAGCAGCAACCTTTTCTGAAAAGCTGAGCTTTGCTATAACAATACAGATTAATTCAGAGCACTTTTTGCAGGGATTTCAAAACAGATGTGCAGTCATCAAAATCATGCAGAAATATAAAGCTGGCAAGAACGTTACAGCTACTATGACCTTTTGCAAATGTATAGATTTGACAAGTATGTAACATTTCTACAAGTCATTGTTGCCACAGATGTTCATGTCTCTTTTATTAAAACATTTAGGTTTGTCACTAGCCCTCTAACATAAACTTAATTTTTGTGTGCAACTTAGTCTTTGCACTTGGGATTATACAGATCACACCAAACCAGGTGATGATAACTACAGGGCATTTTAATTTGAGATTAGTAAATTGGCTCTTGATTTTTTTTTTTTTTACTGGAAAGAAAAGCACCATATAAAATCTAGGATTCAATATCGGATATTGTTTATTTAAAAATACAGATGTTTAGTTTATAAGATTGGAAAATTGCTTTTTAATTCCCACCTAATGTTCTCCAGTAAATTTTAGTGCGGCTCTGTCTGCATTGGATAGATCAATGAATGGTGCTTTTATAGAAATGTTTGAGAAGAGCTCCTCAGTCCATGGAAATTGTTCAAATAATCCTGTTAGAATGAAGCCTTTACTGAAGGCAGTAATTTTATGGATTGAACCCAGAAGGGGCTGTCTAGGCTGGCCTTCTTCCTATCACAGGCCGCAGAGCTTTATCCAGAGACCGTCTGCGCAGGTACTGGTTGGCTACAAGACATAGGGGACTTTGCGTGGCCAATACATTGAACAACACCATGAAACCAGAAACTGGAACTTTTTGAGGACAGGTTAAATGGAAACAGGAAGAAGGGGTATTTTTACAGTCAAGTTGGTAGACAGCATAAGTTTGAGTTGTGGCATCTTACTACGTTCAGCTGTTCCCTAAAAAGTACCAGTTAAAAGTAAACTTTTTCCAAACCATCCTTTTCTCTTGCATGCCACATGCAGTCCAAAGCTGAGAAACATGATGGGCAGTCCAATTACGGGAAGGAACTCATTGATTTGTACTTCTGCAAGTCTGCAAAACAGAAATTATGAGTGAAAATCCAGCATTGTGAAACCTGCAAAGAAATATGGATGGGAGAGTACAGCGTGCATATGTATCTTACATTTTGATAGATATTTTTCCTTTCACAAAAAAATTAAATGGCATTGACACATCTCCTGAGGCAGCCTGTCTTTTACTGTGATTCATGAGAACTTTTTGTAGACAAGAAGAACAATGTTCTGCTTACATCTTTTCAGGGATGTCAGATCTGATTGTGGATGGGCACAGTATCATGATGCTGCTGTTGGTCAGTGAGGTGTGAGAGCCTTTAGGCAAAAAGAAAATAGACTGAATACAGTCTGCTGCAGTAGCTACTTCTGGAGTGCAGTGAGCAGGTGGCAGAGAAGGAACTGCTGGAAGAGTACTTTGCTGTCTCTTTACTATAAAGGAGGATGACAAAGTGATTGATCACTGCTGTGTTCTGCGAATTGCTCCAACAGTGAAGCTGCAGGTTGTGGCCCTGAATGTGGCTGGAGGATTTTCTGCTGAACGGAGGAGCAGACCATGATTAGACTTCTTCCTGAGGCTGCTTTGGATATGTAGAGAAGCAGCACAAGCAGCAGAACGAGCGTAAGAAGTCAGTGGGAACAGCAGTTTAGCATGAGGGCAACGTAAGATCAATCTTACCTTTATTATCCCACACTATGTGGTTGATGATTGGGCTGCAGTGTATTGGCTCGCTCAGTGTAATCGTACATGTCTTCATTTCTCATTAGTGAAAGAATGCAGGAGGAAGGAATGGAAAAAAATAGGGATTATAAGGATTATGAAAGAAAATAAGTGTGCTTGAGGGCAATCTTTTTAATTTTCCTTAATATTTTTTCATTTTTGCCCATTATTTAGCAAGCTTTATTTATAATCTACCTGTGCTACAGATTGTAATGCCTCATGGTGTGGTGTTTCACACATGACAAATCATGTGGCTTTTGAAGACAAATTGTCCTGCGTTAAAACAGTCCATTGATTCACTGTCACTGTATTTGGAGGGTAGTATGAATGGCATGAAGTTAAATTTCTAACCATATTAAGTATGTATGGAGACAGTGAGTAGCGTTGTCTTCCTCTTATTGCCCAGGTAACCATTAATTTACTTTCTGGCAACATTAGTATGTAAATGCACTGTTGAACCTTCCAAGGTTATGTGGATCCAAGCTGGCAAGGAGAAGTTTGGTCTCTGGGAATAATATGAGAATATATACATGCACTACTCTCTCCTAAAAGTCAAAGCTTGTCCAGACCTGTAGCACACCACTTTTGTGGTCATATTTGTGATTCTCTCTCCATGCTACATCAAAATGTTGATGCTCATAAATGCTCAAACGGCACATGCACCGTTGTTACTCCCAGCATGGGTTGAGAAGTCCATTTGGTCAGTCTTCAGTTTTGGAGACCTCAGTTTTAGCAACTTGGGTATAAGCCTCTGCAAAGCTTCTGATAAATATCCACTGCTGTGGCATTTCCACCTGGCTTACCTGACTGAGCCCTAGCCATTTGAGATGGGTGGCTTCCAAATAAAAATTGCAATCTGGCCTTTAGAAGGTATGGCGTACATGTATCTGGTCTTTGATGTCAGATCTACCGGAGGAATTAAGAGGGCTCTGTCTATTAACTTGGCCTTACTTTGTGGCATCTGTATTTGGGTTAAGTGATAGTGGACAGGGTTATAGCACAAGTAACTGTTACCAACTCTGAGTATTGATGCTGACAATGTATAAGGAAGAAGCTGGGGAGTGCAGGGTTCTCTCTTGTATACTGTAAACCAGAGTTGGAGTGGCTCAGTGGCCAGCCACGCTGCAACGAGCCGTCGGACTCCTGGCAAGAAATCTTGCCCAGCCTGTGCGCAGATTTGTACTAGCTGACCCAGTCTGGTGAAAGTAGACATGAAAGAAGTAGATACGAAGGCTTTGAGCTAAGGATGCCCCATCTGCAGTAGCTAGTCTGGGCTATCTGAGTTGATACAGAGACAAGATCAGGCAGTGTAGTCCATTTTGACTTACTAACTTTTGCATAAATTATATGGAGACATTAGCTTACAGGTATGCTCTCTCACATGCTGTAGCTTAAATGAGAAATTAATGAGGTGATGTACTTATGAGTAAGAAGTGATCTGAAGAAAAAATGACACTTCGTGTTGAAAGGCATAAATAAAGATAAAACCCAGATATGAGAAAGTGAAACTTTGTGTAACTGATTTGAAGAGGAATGTGTGTCATTAAATCTTTGAACAATACAAAGTTGTTCATAAATTCTGACTTGACTTTTTGCATTTTGTAAATCAGTAATAGCGTAATTTAAGGGAGTGATGTTTTGCATACAAGTTCAAAGTGGTCATCACTGTTTCCAGTCCCAACTTTTGGTGGAGTATGCGCAGCAGTAATTTTTAAAATATTGAACAATAAAAATCACACTGAGAAATTCCTACTGAAATTACTTATTGCCCTGGAATTAAAATGGAAATAACAAACATATCTTTCATCACTCATTTTGAATATTTATTCTTTGTATTTCACTTTCTCTAAACAATTTTTTTATCTCTAGGGTTATATCCTGACTAATCCTTCACTGTGCTAATTTTGCTGGGACAACACATAATTGGCTGATGATTCCAAATATGAATAAGGATGGTAGGCTTGGGCTTACGCTAATTTTGATGAATAAATTTGCCTTAAGAATGACAAGTCGTGCTAGCACTTTTCACTTTATAACATTAGACATTTATACCAGTCAAAGATGTTAACTCTATGCAGGGAATCAGCATTAGGCAGTGTTTGGATCTACTTACAGGGAACTCTCAGGTGCCTACTCTCAGCAGAAACTTGCTCATAAAAACCTTTCTCTCTTTTTATTTTAGTAAAAGAATGGTGTGATTGAAAATCAAATTGTTGAGAGGAATTTCACTGTAATAGCAAAATGTCCTTCCTTTATTTTTACCCACGGAATTTTTAATAAGGATATTGCTTTGCCAGTTCCTTTGAATTTTCCTGGTTCTTAGTTGGTGATAATGATGGCAGTAATAGTCCTCTGTGAGTGTGATGGGGGAAAAGAAAATAGTACCCCACTGGTATGAGATGTTTTGCAGTGGTCTTTTGTGGGCTCACAACAGTGTTACAAAAGATGCAGTCTTGATTGATTTCTTGTCTTTTATTTCTTTTATTTATACATTTATTTTGCCCTTGGGGTGGGGGGATGCAATTGTATGGCAGGAAACAGCCACAAGGGAAGAGAGGGATATTAGAAATTTAGTTCTAACATTGTTCCTGGTAGTATTAGTTGAGTGCTTCTCTGTCTTGGTCTGGTCAGGGCCTATTTCTGGATGAGAGGCTTTCAGTTATTCCAATGAATTGTGTTTTTTTCATTTTTGTGTTAATTTTCCAGGAAAACCTACGTACTTTGACAGAATTCAGAGGACTGGAAGGCTTTGTCTGAAAACTAAAACTTACTGATTTGAAAAATATTACTGTAGTACTCCTCCAACATTATAATCTGTACTCCTGTTGGTCCTATTCTGCAAGGCTGAGGCTGCCTACCACCTTCGACACTGTGCCATGATCGTTCCTCTGAATGGAGTGCTGGAAGTAGGGAATCCCTCAAAGTGATCTTTTATCAGAGCTGTCATTTAAATGGTAAATCTAATTGATAGAGGAGATCTGCCCCATAAAGCAGGTAAGCCACAGATTTAATGAGATACTACACTAGCATTTCTTAATAACATTTTTTGTTTTCGATCATAATATTTTGGTTTGTAAGTTTGGCTTTTTGGTAAGAAAAGTATGTTTGCAGAAGCTCGTACTTAGACAAGCCAAAAAAAAAAAAAAAAAGAACAACCAAATAGTGTTTAGCTGAAAACCTCGTTTCTCATCAAAAATAGATGCAGTGGAAAATTTTCAAGCAGTCCTATATTTAACCTCCTTGGATCAAAATTCAGTTGTTGGACTGAGGGAGGCTCAAGGAGGTTTTTTGCTGCTTTTGTTAGGGTGCCTGTTTTTTCACTCATGACATCTGCCTTCTTTTCCAGCTATATCCAACCTTGTTATAATTCTTGCTACTGCAGCATTTTACTGTGCTCAGAATGCTAGTTCCCACTGGACTCAGCTTGGTGGGATATGTGCAAACTCAAAGTTTCTTCCAAGAGGTGCATCAATCTTGTTTTTTTTATTTTGGCTGGGTTTTAATAAGTAAATGTGAGTAACTATATCCACTGAACACTGAATATGCACAAAACAGAGCATCAATGCGATACAGTTCTTACTTCTTTGCCCAAGGGAGCCTTGCTCTGGGATGTTGTGGACTGCAAACAATATATGTGAGTTTGGGGTAATGGGCTAAGTGCTTGAAAGAGAAGACCCACTAGGCAACCTAAACAGATAAATCACATCAGTGTCAGCAATTCCTGAGTAGAATATAGTTGAAGGCTGGGGAGTTATTTTGGGAAAATACTGTATTTGATTTCTTTGCTCATGCTCTCTTCCCTTGGCTCTGACTCGTGGCTGCTTTGGGAAGCAGGATACTGAACTAAATGGACCTTTGATCTGAATTGGCATAGCCATCCTTGGGTAAGGAGAAGTACACTGATAAATGAGTAAGTGTGAGCTTTGGCAATCTGGAATTCAGCAAAATTTATCAGAAATGAAACTCTTTCCTCCAAGAAAAATGTAAGCCAATCACAAAAGATATGAGCATGAGGATAGAGATTTTCATCTGAATAGGTTGTGATTCTGGAGTCTCAAGCTTTCTGTTGATTTTTTTGTTTGTTTGTTTTCCTTTTGCAGTTTCCATTTATCTTTCATTTCTTCTTGTAGCAGTAAGGATTTGCTGCAACTGTGTCTTAAATACAACTGTGAGCCTTTTTGGGTGTTTTTACAAAGCTGGTGGATAGAACATTAGTGTAAGACGCCTGCAGAGTTCACTGGACTTTGTATTAAGACAAGAAGAGAAAACAAAGTGAATATTGAAATTCAGAGAAGAAAATTGTTAATGACCTACATTAGTTTTAGTATGTGTTATATTTTGTCATCAGTTCAGTGTTAGAATGCAGTTTGTAGCCAGAATATATCAGCAACTGGCAACATGTGGTGTTTCTTAAGCAAAAGTTGATTGTTATTCTTTACTGCTTGTTTTGCATTTTAGCACTCTTACAGAGGTATCTTTCCACATATTTTTAACTTTGTTTTCATGGCAATTTATTTTAGATCACTTCATGACTGCTAAGAAATAGTATACTTTTTTAGCCTTCATAGGCATTAATGATCAAATCTGTAAATGATCATATGCTTAGTTTTGTAAGATAGTAGCTAATTTTTTTCTATATCTTTAATAAACTCTTCAGAAGTTTTATGATTATGTGAAAGCAGATAGATCTAGTTATACTCCTGTGAACTTAAGTTTACTTGGTAGTTATATTGACCAAAATGGATGATGTTCTTTTTATTTATTTTCCTGACAGGTTATATATTTTTCCTTCAAATTTCTATCAGAAGAATTTGATTATAGTACATTGTCAGTAGCTGACCAGTAATATCCCTCTTCCCTGTTATTATTTAGAATTATTTTACATGAATATTTGCGAGTAAAGATAATAGCCAGACATTGTTTGAAAAGAAGCAATAGTTTGAGTATTGTTGAGAAGGAGATTAAACATTGTAGTACCAAAGTTGTGTTGGAAAAGAGGACAGAGAAAGGAAAGCACAATATTGAAGTATAAGATTCAGCTCCTATGGTATGACTTTCCTGGTGCTGATAGGTGGAATCCAAATACATTTTGAAGCATAATGCTACAGTCAATTAGCTTTACTTGAAGTAATCGTTGTATAAGGAAGAAATTTTAGTACATTAGAATTAAGGAGTTGGAAAAAGTAGCAAAAAAAATCTGTCCATGTTTTCCTAAAAATGTAGTGAAAACATGTAAATTATTTTAAAATGAATTTAGAAAATTTGTGAAGTGAGAGGAGAGATTGTAATCCTGTCTTTAAAGTGTGTCAAGAATAGCAAGAATAGTGCAACCTTTCTCACATCATTTGCATGTCTTAATGTGAATCTTAATGATAGTGTCAAGAAGTGAGAAGCAAGTAGAGTTGCCAAATCTGTCCACTCTTTTGAAACTGGAAGAATTGTGGGAAGTAATTGGGTGCGAAATAAATATATGTACACAAGTAATTGGACTGAGACTATTACATTTCTTGCATTTAAGTAGTAGGTAGTAACTACTTAAACGTTGAGGAAAAGAGAAGATTACATCCTGCAAAATTTTATGCAAGATAGTCTATCTTCAAGTCAGTGATCCTGGTTACTTTAAAGTGTCTGCTTGCTTGAGAAATGGTTTGTCAAATCAGGTCTTTAAATGGGAGAGGGGATTAGGAAACAAAAACCAAAATCCAATTTACAGTGGGAGTTAACTTTCGGGGGTATGGGGCAGAGAATGGACAATGAATATCACCATCTTTTCCATGTCCAATACTATCAAAACTGTTTTTCTTACAGATAATCCTCTGTTGGCAGAATGTTTGTGAAAGAGTCAGTGGAAGGAAATGGTATGGTAAAATACATATAAAGAATCTTATGCCAAAACCCAGAGAGTTAAGTTTAAATAAGCTGCTTCATTCTGTTTGTAAACCAAAAAAAACTACAATATGTTTTGTTTTGTAATTATTTTTTTTTATATATATCTTCTACAGGTTTAGGAAATGATGAAGGTAAATTAAAAATTGTTTCTGTGCTTAAAATGCCTAATTGTCGTTGTGTATATCAGTCTCTTGTCTGTTCTTTACAGCTGTTTGTGCTATCTCACCGTTGTTTTTGAAACAAACAGTATTTTTACAAGGGTCACTAATTTTGATTGGGATATGAGAGATAATTGTTAGTTTTATGAGTAGTAAAGCTGAATACCATGATTTGCACTTTTAAATAAATAAGCTGCTTCAGTCTGTTTATAAAACAGAATAACTTCAATATGTTTGGTTTTGTAATTAAAAAATGTAGAGTTCATCAAAAATATCTTCCCTAGTATGATGAATGGAGATTAGGTTAGACTGTGTTACAAAATAATGTGATAATAATGATTTCCTTAACAGAGTACAAAAGCAGCATCCAAGTTTCAGCTGACGTTTATTGACACACAGCATCAGTTGGGAGCCCCATCAAACTTCCTATTCTTTTCTGTTTACCACCTCCTGCTTTTATTTACAGTCAGTATATCTGTTAATTAGCCTCAGGTAGAGCCAGTTCTTCTAAGAAGCTCTCTTGTCTTCCTGGTGATGGCCCCATGAGGTGACCATGTATACACAGTCTGTGAGTGAATTAATCTTTAACTCATTAATTTCAGTGCCTGATTCTGGAATGTTTAACTGCTGGCTTGGTTTCCTACTCAGCAATTTGTATTTGGAGAACTGTGGGCCTTGAATCCTGTTGACTTCAATGTCATGAACACATCCCAGTGAACTGCCAGCATCTTGTGGTTACCTCACTGGAAATATTTTCTTGTAGTTTTTTGGTTTGCTATGGTTGGACCTGAACGCAGATAGTTCATTGATGACTTCCAGGTAAATGGTTTATATCACTGAGGCTATTTACCTCGTTTGCATTGCATTTTTGCAGAATAAAATTACTCCTCCACTTCCTCAGCTATCTCTGTTGCTCACAATCTGAATGCAACATTTTGCAAAAAATCTGATCTAATGGTGCAATGTCTGGATGTCACAAGGGGGTACTCTGTAGGGAACCATACTACTTTATAGAGTCTCACCAACCTCAGTTAGGAGCACCTTGTGATGATACGAAGCTGTTTATAGCCACAGCCTGAATGCTAGATATGGTGGTTGTAGTGCAGTTCCCTCACAGCACAGCTTGTTTATTAGAAAAGGATAAAAGTTGCAGTTATATTTGCAGGAAAAAATTAGGAGCATGATTCAGAGATCTCCTGCCCAAGTCTACAACGTATGCTAGAAGTACTGTGAGAGGTGTGAGCTGATCTGTGCATTGCTCTGGGGTGTTAGAAATCTCCTCGTTTCAGTGTTAATGGTTGTGTTTATTTAATCTAAAATGTAAGAAAAGAAAGACTGGGCCACTTATCTGTACAGACAGGTGTAAGTAAAGTGATGACCAAGTTCCTCACTTTTGCTAGAATGCCATTTATTCTTTCTCCATCCTCCAGCGGAGGAGTAGCCAAACTCGAAAGACCTAAGCATAGGTTACAGGTGACCTTGAAATCCTGCCCACAGCAACTGCAAGTATGGAAAGCCATAAAGCTCACACTGTGATAGTGTGTGAGCATTTTAATAATTTAATGAGAGATTTACTGATAAATATTCACTGCTTCAGTTTTTTAAAAAAAGCAATAATAATAATGAAAAAAAAAAAAAAAAAACATCAAACCAACAGTATAATCCCTGGAATACCTCCAACTTTTATACTGGAAAAGTACCTCAAAGTAGTATGGCTTTCTCTCTTTAGTGTGGAAGTATTTGTGCTGATCTAAAACATTCTTTGCTGGCACAACTGCATCCCAATGTCTAATTTTGTGGATAGGTAGACCCAGTTGAAGTAACTTAGATCTAAAGGAGTTAGAAACCCAAATTTCTTTAAATCAAATTCTTAAGATATCCAGGTGTCCAGGATGTTGTGACAAGAGACAAAAAAATCAAAAAAGAAAAGGTGAATATTTGCTACTG